GCGTTTTGGAGGTGCAACCGGATTAATGACTGTTAGAAGCAGTGCTTATGCTAACGTGTCTGTCGAAAGTGGACGGATAGAGGTGGCACAACAACACACCGAAACACAGCAAATAATGCAAAGCAAATAAAGCAGATGTAGTATATTACACCAAATTAAGTGGTATGCGACCACTGAGACAAGGCATGCTCCTCTTCTATTTCCATATTGCGTATAAGATGGGAGGGGTGAATGAGATCACCGACGCCGAGCATCTCGAGATCGTCAGTGTCGAGAGCGCGCGCCGGCTGCGAAGTGCCATCGAGCAGAGCATCGACGTCGAATCTGCCCGTATTGAGGAGATTAAGTATGTCAGCTGCCGAGGAGGTGTTGTTAGTGGGAGGGGGAGGAGGCTGCTTTGGGTGTGAATGTGACAGGTTAGGGTGTGTACCTAAGTCCCTCAGATCATCCATATCATTCATATCATTCATCTCACTCATTTCCCTGAAATCATTCACCAATGCTCCAGTGCTTGAACTTTCTGGGAAGAAATTGAGTGAGTTGCTACTCCCAGCACTAGGATCCCACTGCATGTCCAGACCAGGGAAAAAGGGAGGGGGATTTGTGCCGTGGGTGTTCTCGTAATGCTCCTCTTTAGGTGGTTTCCAAGGACGTTTTTGATTCTGATTCTGATTCTGTTTCAGCTCCTGCTCCTGCTTCCGCTGCCGACTGGGTTCCTGTGCTTGGTATTGCTCGCGCACCTCACCTTTACCATCCCACCTAACCTCCCTGCCGTCACGTTTGAGAGGCACAGGACGGAGCCAAGCGTTACCGCTACTATTCGACGCAAGAGACTGCGACTGCTCCTGCTCTTGCTCCTGGTCGCATTCATGCACGGGAATGTGGCAAACTCTGCAAAACTCGACGAGAACATCAACACTGCGCGCGCCGCACCCATACCTAATAGCGAATTGACGGAGGAGTCCGACGGCGACGCGGAGCGCTTCGAGGGAGACGGCGATATGGGTGTTGGGAGAGCTTCTATTTTTGCTGCCACTTGCACTCCCACCTTCGCCGTCACTGCCGCTACCTGCGCTACTTGCACTGCGTCGCGACTGGAGCACAACGGCAACAAGGGTGCGCCCCGCTTGCGTGAGCTGGTGTATGACATGCACACCGTAGTGCGTCAGCAGGCCTCTGCGGGAGATATGGGAATGGGCGGCGATGATAGTGAGTGCCGCCTGCTGAGCGGCGTGAGCGTAATTATCGTAGTGGTGAGACTGCGACTGCGACTGCCCCTCCATCTTACCAGCACCTGCGGCACCCGCGGCACCCGCGGCACCGGCAGAGAAGCGGTGGCGGTAGACGAGCATGCGCGTGAGCTGTTCTAGACAGTGAATGCGTTCAGCCTGCGTGAGGCGGTAGGCGTCGTTACTGGCGATAGTAGCGTCGTTGTAGAGGAGGTCGCTGGGCAGTTGTCTCCGCCACTCCTCCAGCAGCCCCTCGGCCGCCGCGAGCGCACCATTTTGTCCTACTGACGCTGCTTTCGTGAGAAAGGGGCTGCTAGAGAAGACGGGTGGCGTATTTACCCCGTCGAGCACTCGCTCTAGTACGACATGCAGCCGTATCATGTGTATGAATGGTCTGATTCGCGAGGTGGACGTGGACGTGGACGTAGAAGTGGACTGACCTCCACTCAAGACAGATGCTAGGTGCTCGTCGTCGACATCGAGTGGTTCATCGAGATCGCAGTCACGGAGACGGATCATAGGTGGCCTACCAAAGGCAGCAGCAGCTTGCTTATCCCAGCAAAAGACGCTCCAGAACGTGCGCTTACGAACCTCCATCCAGACGCCCATATCGGTACCGAGGTCGTAATGTTCGAGCGAGCGATGAAGCCCAGAATCGATAGATAGCGTGATAGACTTAGCGAGTGTGGCGAACGCCCTCCCGAGCTTACCTGACCCAATGAGATAAATAGCTATGAGGAAGGTGGACTGTATGTAGTACACATTCCCGCTGCCAGTTCCCCCATGCGCGTTCTGGATCTCGCGGAGCCGCTCATAAAGAACTAGGTACGACCGCCCACTCGACGCCGGGTCAGCAGCGTCGGAACGGACGCGCACATCGTCGATGTGCCGCGATGCTATCGTGCAGATCGCCACTACTAGCGACGCGAAGCCCGGCTCACCCCATGCTGAGGGAGTGGCGTAATCCTAAGCAACCGCGTCAGAATCAATGAAAAACTTCTCGAGACTAACCTGACACACCTGGAGGAATGTGGGGATATGCAGAAAGGGCCAGAGAAGATGGGTGGTGGCCATGTACGTGCGTATAAGGGTGTTTATGAGATCTATGGGGATGTGCGAGGAGACTTGCGTCCAGACAAGGACAGGTTCGATGCCAGTATGCTTTGGCTTGCGGCCGGGTAAGCAGTCTTGTAGGTGGTGTGGTTGGTGGTGGTGATGCTCCTGATTGCGCTGATCCCGCTGATCCTGCTGATCCCGCTGACGCTGCTCAATCTCCCCCTCGCTTGAGTCGCTGCCACGCTCACGACTGTTTAGCATGTCAATCAGGGGCAATCCAGACGTCGGGCCAGCCCAAGCTGGATTCCCCTGGTGATCGAGATACAGATAGCTGGGAGACAGAGAGAGAGCGGCGAGCTGATCAGCGAGACTATCGTGTTTATCGTGTTTATCGTGTGTGTCGTGCGTGATAGTGTCTGTGTCTGCATCACTCAGCGCCGTATCCAGTTTGGACAGCGCAGCCTGGGCGATAGACGGCGGTATCGCACCGAGCACCCTCTCGAGCGCACCCATACGCGCCTCCAGCTCAGCGACGTTCTTCTCATTCTGATTCTTGCGCGGTTTGGGCGCTGGTGCTTCCTCGACAAACGTACACGCCGTGTGCGCTAACTGACAGGCCTGGCAGGGATGTCCTTCATCGCACTTCACTTTGCGCTTCCGGCAGCGATCACATGCGCGTGACAACCGTAGTCGTTTTATCGTTGGTGGCGCACCGTCAGCGGTATCTGACGTCGATGATGGCATGATGTTATCAAGATGTATGTGTGAATTGTACATGGATATGCATGACTTATGACTTAATAAATATAATGTTTGTACTGCTGGCAAGTATAGGTGAGCGGGAAATTAAGAAATGAAAATTTTTGCGAGATGGCTGGTGTCTATGTGGAGATTTTGGCGGGAGTAGCACCAGTATCGGCACCAGTATTCCCACTCGCACTTTTACTCTTACTAAGAGCCTTCTTTCGAGCATTCCTTTTGCGTTTGATCGCAGCTTCTCTTTTTTCCTTGTCTACCTTGTCTTTATCTTTATCCGCCTTGCTGTCCTTCTCCGTGGCATCCTTAGTAACCTTAGCATCCCTGCTCCCCTCGCTCTCCTTGCTCTCTTGACCATCCGCAGGCTGCTTCCCGCCGCTCTTTTTCCGTCTGCTCACCATCTTCCTCAGCGGGCGTCTGAAGCTACCAGGCCCAGGCTCGCCTTGGAATGCCGTCGTGCGTTTCTCGCATAGTTCCGAATAGCTCTTGCCACAGCTAACGAGCTCATAAGCCCGCGCAAACTCCTCTATGATATGGCTGCTCGTTCCTGAGCGGACATTGGTGGAAGTGTTTCGAGTAACGATAAATGGATCCTGGGTGACAAGGAGTTGTTCACGCCACTGCAAGGGCTGACTTGGTTGGATATTGTTGGTGTTCTTGTCTTTATTCGCACCACTCTCGCTCTCACCTCCACCTCCACTCACACTCCCACTATATGGATCCACAAAAAGATCGTCGCGTGGTAAAAACCCACCATGCTTTATCGATATAATGCTCGTCTCGTAGTTGAATGGCCCACTCACCCGCCAGTAATCGTTGTCGATTTTGTTGGAACGCGTCGAGTAGTAGTAGAAGAAACCGCTGAGAGCGGTGGAGAGGGAGAGCGGGGAAGGGACAAAGTTGCGCAGGGGTGCTTCAACGAAAGTAGTGTCGAATGAGACGCGAACGTTGCTCGTAGGTGGTGAGACAGACTGAGAATTTGTATTTGTATTTGAATTGTCAGATCTTGAGCGCTCCTTCTTGAGATCCTTTGGACGCTTGGTGGGGGGACGCACCCAGAGACGCTGCTCTTGCAGGCCTGCTGCACGGATCTGGTCAGGGTCTTGGAGGTTGGGTAGGTGGCCCACGACCTGGAGGAATGAGATGACCATAAGGATAAGCGTGTAGGATGAGAGGGTTGTAGGGCCATATTGACCAGCGCTGTCGTTCAAACCACGCAATTTAGCCCAATTCTTCACAGCGAGCACGACTGGCCTGGCTATCGGACTGAGATCGAGGTAGGCTTTGATAAGGAGGGAGTTGCGTATGCCAAAGAGGTTGTTAGCGTTCAAGTCGCACTGGAGATTGGATTTTGAGTCAGAGAATTTGACAATAGGCACGGCGGCGAAGATTGGCTGGACTTGATTGAAATTGTGGTTGAGGAGGGTTTTAGCGACGTTGTTGGGGTTGTACGCGGATGGGAGTGTATCCATGTCAACAGAAGGATCAAAGCCGTTTGGGCGGTGTCTATCGGTCATGACGAGATCGAGATCGGAAGAGGCGGAATCAACTTGGTAGCAAGTGGAGCCGAAACATTGAACGGCATAATTGGACCCGTATTTGTTGGAAATTGTGGATGAAACTCTGGTGATTAGATCGTTACGCTTGTTTATAACAGCAGCGGAGGGGAGAGTTGACTTGTACAGATCCATAATTTCATCTTCCATTGAGTTCCCAGAGCCCCGGACACAGCGCCAGTCTAAAGATTTATCGGCTTTTGACGCTGATAATTTCCTCATATCTCCACAATCCTCACTGTAATGGTCAAAGCCAGCAAAGGTGAGTGTAATCACGGGAAACATAAATTATTCAAAATTTAAATTAAATCCAGGAATTCTTATTAGTTGGTGTGCTCGCACTGTTTTCATAGGCTCCTTCTCACCACCCACAGCGATCCCGCCGTGAAGCAGATTATCCTCAATCTCAACGACAGGAAGAGATTCATTATCCAGGATTTAGATCTCCAGCACATCCTCGTCAGCCCTGACAGCGTACAGACTATTAAATTTGAAGTTGAGAAGGAGCTTGAGCGCAATACCTTCCAGATATTAGATTGACATCTCTTATCATCTCCTGCAATCTCTTTTTATCACTGAATATCCTTCTTGTTCCCGTACCTCCATGAACTCATCTCCCGGCTTACTCTCGCGCGGCACAAAGATCAAAGTTGGGGTGCACACGCTGTTTATCGACAGATATCTCAGCGCCGGTGAGCATATACGTTATATTTCATCTCCATCTCGCTCACGTAGCACATCTTTCATCTCCCATCTCAGGCGGATATGCCCACGTCTACATCTGCACCTCCCAGCTGCCCATCTACAACGCCTACAGCCACGTGCTCAAGCGTGTAGCCGTAGCCTCACTCGCCTCTCTCCAAGAAGTCGGCAACGAAGTGGAGATGATGAAGCTGGTGCGCAACTCGCCTCACATTGTCAACCTCATCGACGCCGCTGCGTATAAACTTCCGCAGGGCGGTCACGAGGTGTTTATACTGATGGAGCTGTGCCCCGGTGGTGGTTTGATTGACGTTATGAACCAGCACCTAAAAACGCGCTTATCCGAGCAGCAGATACTCGATGTCTTTGTGGGCGTGAGTGATGCACTCGCACACATGCACTCTCTCAGAATCCTCCACCGCGACCTTAAAATAGAAAACATTCTCAAATCCTCAGGGAGCGTGTACAAGCTGTGCGATTTTGGCAGCGCAACTCTGCTCCCAGTGCATCCACAACAGCTGTCATCCGTCGACGATATAAAACGGCTAGAAGAGGAAATAAACCGAGTTACAACGCTGCAATACAGATCACCAGAAATGATAAACCTTCCCCAATCACGGTACATTGACGAGAAGAGCGATATCTGGGCACTTGGCGTGCTGCTGTACAAGCTATGCTATTATACCACTCCATTCGAGAATGGGCAAGGGGGCGTGGATAGTCTGGCTATTCTGCACGCACAATACACTATACCCACTTCACCACTCTACTCCTCCACGCTCAACACACTTATCAGCTCAATGTTGAGGCAGGTCCCACGCGAGAGACCAGCTGCTGTGGATATACTCAGACGCGTCCACCAGATGCGCGGAACGCTACATTTATTCCATCCTCCACAACCCAAGCAACCCAAACAACCCTCACCTATTCCTGTGAAAGGTAAAAGCCGCCCGCTTCCAACTCCCCCACAGCAGCCCGCCATTTACAAGCAAAACCTGCTTTCCCCCTCCGATACGCCGCCACTGCGTAGAGGACGTGTGAAGTCAGGTGAGAGTGGTGATCACCGCACAGGCGGAGCTGTTAGAGGTGTTCAAGCAAGCCATTCAGACACCCCCTCCCAACCACTCCAGCCACTTAAGACAATACAAACGACATCAACGACGTCTGCAAAGACCCCCACTCCCACTCCACACACATCCAAATCCCTCCCTAACAAGTTGAACCAAGGCAATCAAAGACAATCACCAGCATCCACGCGCAATCCACCCACCATGCCGGCTAATACCGCTGTTGATACCCCTACAGCTACAAGTACAACTAGCTCTACTCCGACTATCACTCCCACTAACGATGTCAATATCAATGACGACCCTGAATCGCGTTTCCCAGATCTGGAAGCGTTTGGCGATCAATTTGATACTCTATCACGCACAACTGTGCGCGTAGATGGCGTGAAAGATGCACAAAGCCCATACACCCCAGACAGTCCAGATAGTCCAGACGAGCTAGTGATCGAGGAGATACTCCCACGTCATCTACGCGTCCCTCGCCAACTGTCATCTTCTAGCCCTGGCAGTGGGAAGAGTGTGCAGATGGAGGATTTGATGGATGTCACCGGGGCTGGTAGTGGTAGTGGAAGGGAGAAGTGGAAAGTGGAAAGTGACCAACACGACATCTACGAGCACAAAAACGGCGCACTCCCCCCTCACCTGTCGAATAAGGTTGAAGTGCGCTCACCTTCGCCGCTCATACCGTCAGAACACATGCAAGATTTGCAGAGCGTGCAAAACTTGAATGTGCCAGATGCGCGTGGTAAAGATGAAGAGGAAATTGGTGGAAGAATTGACAGCAATTCAAATACATTGTCTGATACTCACCCTCGCCCACACTCACACTCACATTCCCTGTCATCCTCCGACGACGATGCGGAAGATATTGAGTATCCGCTGAGTAGGAACTATGCCATATCATCCACGACCAACGAGAAAAATTTGGAGGAAGAGGAGCAAGAGAAGCAGGTGGTGAAAGAGAAAGAAGAGAAGCAAAAAAGTGAAGAAGAGAAAAAGCCACAGGAGTTGCGCCAGGAGGTCGACAACACCGTGCAAGCGCCGTCTACAGAGCTTGGTCAGACACCGTCTAATCCGCCTTCTTCTCAACGTCCACCTTCCCCTCTTGTAAGCGGAGTTGGTGAGCAGCACGAGCTCGATAAATTCAGCACTTCGGCAACACCACACACAACACACAAAACAAGCACACTACCACACTCATCACCACCACCTTCTAAGAAAAAGAGTAACCTCCAGATATTGATTGAGAAGGACGCCGAACGCACCAAAGCGCAGTCGGAGCGCGACGTGCACGATGTGCTCGATAAAGGATACGACAAGAATGCATACCCGCTGATATCGCCAGTGAAAGAAGAGGGTGTACGGAGTACGGAAAGTGCACAGGCTGTGCAAAGTGCGCAAAAAGCGCTACTTGACAGCGATCCATCGGTGCATTCGGTCCAACCAGAGAACACATGGCAGAGAGATAGAGAAAGAAAGGGAGAAAGAGATAGCGATAGAGATAGAGGTCAAAAGGCAGTACACACCGGAATGCTTGTCGATATATACCCAGATCCTGATTCTGGTGGCACTGGTACACAGACAAACACGCAAACCTCAACAGTGACAGCCGATACATGTACGTCTGTGCAAATTAGAAGATGGCAACTGACATATTACAGCTCCAGCAACTTCACAGCTGATAGACGTAGATGTAGACTACCCATCAAAGTCTCAGTCTCAGCAGTCTCAGCAGTCTCGCGTGTCATCCCAAGCAGACGCAAAGCCGTCCGTCAAACCCAAACCTAAACTCACAAGTACCAAATCATCAGAAAGTAGTAGTAGGAAGGAGAATGACAATGAAGAGCAGACACATTCACTATCGCAAAACTCAAATACCACCGCCAACACCACGCAAAATTCAGGACGCAGACACATATTGCATTCACGCCCACGCACACACGCCCGTGCTGCATCTATGGTAGATCGTTATGAGACCATGACAATGGACGTACAGGAGATGGAAGTTAAGGGGGATAAAGCTCCACTGTCGCATGTCAAACCTAAACCCAAACCAGAGTCTATGGCGGGACAAAAAACGTCCAAAGCACCTGCGACATTGACAACACCTGCGACACCGATCATACCTAAGAGTCCAGAAAAACAGCACATTTCACCGAAACGAATCCCAAACAAACACTCAAACGCACGACCTGTGTCAATGTATGCTGATGCAAGCCCCAGTCAGAAAAGCTCTGATGAGAAGGACGAGGGAAGATTTCCAGGCGTCGCAGCGAGGATAGAGCAGTGGAATAAAGTGTAGTTATCACGAGTGTAGAAGTAGATGTAGATGTAGAGACAAAACAAATAAAATTTAACGTATTATGACATTATTCGTGCGATTCAAAATTGAGCCTTCTCAACAAGTGACGTGAGAGTGAGGCGCGGAAAAGGCTTGGACGATGGACACAGCTAACAGTACACAAAACAGCACACACAGATATGCCAGACAAAGCCAAGGCGGACAACAAGAAGAAGCAGCAAAAGACGGAGAAGTCCAAGACGCCAAAGGTGGACAACGTGAGTAAGGATTGAGTGCGGTGGAAATAGGCTAACGGGATGAGCAGACTTTTGGTATGAAGAACAAGAAGTGAGTTTTTCTGCGTGTTTATTGGCCATCGACTCACAGGAATAGGGGTGGAAAGGGACAGAGAGAAGTTACACGTATCTCACAAGAACAGTCGCAGTCTGGCAAGAGCAAGGTTGCTAGTGACAAAGAGCGCCAGCAAAATATAGAAACGCAGCAGAAGCGTCTGGCGGAGAAGAAAGCGGCGGAAGAAGCCAAACTACTGGCAGGTGCGCAACCACCGCAGAGAGTGAGAGAATAGGCACATACACAGAAACTCACTCACACTCACTCACAGATACCGTTCGGCGTTGATCCTAAGACAATCGTTTGCCAGTACTTCAAAGCAGGTTACTGCGAGAAAGGAAAGAAATGCAAGTTCGCGCACTCTGATGGAAAGCCAAAGGTTGAGAAGAAGGACATCTACTCGGATGCACGTGACGACGAGAGTACACCACAGGACACTATGGATAAGTGGGACGACGAGAAGCTCAGGCAGGTTGTTCTCTCCAAACACGGTAATCCTAAGAGTACAACTGAGATCGTGTGCAAATTTTTCATCCAGGCCATTGAGGATAACAAGTACGGTTGGTTTTGGACTTGTCCAAATGAAGACCCAGACACAAAGAAGGAATGTCACTACAGACACGCACTTCCACAGGGCTTCGTTCTCAAGAGTCAGCTTAAGCGCGAGAAGGAGGAGAATGCAAACAAGACTAAGGAAATTACGATAGAGGCCTTCCTTGAGACAGAGAGACACAAGCTCGGCACGAATCTTACCCCAGTCACTAAAGAGAACTTCGACAAGTGGAAGAGAGACCGTGTTAACAAGAAGGAGGCTGAGACTGAGGCTGTGAAGAAAGTCAAAGAAGCGTCCCACTCGGCTGGTCGCCAGGTTGGTATGTCTGGACGTGATCTCTTCACCTACAACGCAGACTGGTTTGAAGACGAGAGCGACGAGGAGGAGGACGAATGGGATCTTACCGCTTACAGGAAACAGAAACAAGAGGAGGATGAGGCTGATCAGCAGGCTATGCTGGAGAAGTGGAACAAGGCATTTGCTGCAACAGCTTAGAGTCCGTGTAGCATAAGAAATCGATATAAATCATAAACAGATACTAACATTAACATTCTAACAAAGGGTATAGCGTAGGACGGCCATGTGCGCATTGGTATGGGTTTTTAGTTTGTGAGAGCGCGCTGATAAGTGCTTGGGACTGTGTATTGGACAGCACATCGCCAAACTTGAAAGCGTTTCGACATGCCTTTGAATTAATCAGGTTGAGCAAGGTGGGAGGTGTGTGAGAAGTGTGTTGGTTGTGTGCATCAACACACTCTCTGAGTATATCTCTGAGGAGTGAATGGTCTTTGAGTAGTCTGTCGTGTATAACGTTGGGCAGCGTGTTGATGCATACCTCTTGTTCGTCATGGGGACGCAGCAATAGCCCCCACATCTCAACTATTGCAGTGTTGGAGAGGAGGGTGTAAACTTCTATCGCTGTCAGTCGCACCCGAATACTAGGCGAAACGAGCAATACGTTCTCTCGACTGAGTAATTGGTTCATATACCTCTCTAGCTTCACACGCTCATCGGCAGCATGCTGATCGAAGATGAGCAGCGTATTGGTCGATAGTGCAACTATAAACTTGCTATCGACTTGCCCTATTACCTGGGTTTTCTCGAGGTCTTTACGGGTAATTTTGCGCGTGTGCGTCGCAGTCTCGCCAGGAGCAGGTGAAGGTGTAGGTTGCATAGAAGTTGTGCGTGTGAGGGAACGTCTAGTCGATAGCGTCCTGCTTCGTTCATAGACTGGATTCTGCCATTTCTAGCGGGAGTTAGTAGAGTGCTTGTATGGAAGCATTACACTCACGCCTAATATCCCCTCTAGCCATTTCGATTGCTGATTGCTGCTGACTGAGTTACGTTTGATCGTCTTGCGTGTGCTCTTTCTCGCTGCATTTGAGAGGGAATGCAGATGCCTGCTACTGTCGTTATAGCCATACTTAGTAATAAAATCTTGGATAATTTGGTTCAGGATTGATATGATGTGTTTGTCGTTATCGATATGCAGTGTGTTATTGAAACAGTCTAATTTTGAGAGCGGGAGATGTATCTTGATGACGAAGATGGCGTGCTTGTTCTTTTCTGTGATTGCTTTATTGAGTGCGTTATTGAGTGAGATGCTTATGCTATGTTGTCTATCCAAATGATGATGATTGATGTACAAATGCTGATATGCTGAAGTAAAATGACGATCGAGGGCTATAAATCCTTCTATGCTGAGTTGATGAGAGTGATGAGATAGTTCATGTACTTGATGGATGTTGGTACTATGTACCTGATTGAATGCAGATAGAGTATCGAATGAAGGTGGTAAAGTAAGTTTACTGCTATCAGAATGAAGCTTAATATCTAACGAGTGACTATATATGCTTATATGTTGTAAAATCTCAACTATTCTATTAAACTCGTAGCTAAAATTGATTAACTTCCTTCTAAGGGGGAAAGAGTAGAAAATCTGTGAAACAAGTACATTGTTTGAATCACTGAGCTCTACAGAGGACAACTGTCTGATTAGATCCAATAAATTCTCATCAATAGATTGATTTCCCGCGTAAATCAATCTAAAAGAGTAATTTGATATATCCAAATAGAGTGATAATGATCTACACCCATTCAAAACACTATCCAAGACTAAAAATTCAACAAAATTAAAGTAATTTCCTAGTAAATATAGAGATCTGTTGAGCGTATTCATTGTTGAATTGAACCATGATTGAGTATGTGAGTCTGGGCGGCTGTATCGAATAACACATATAAATATTCCACTCCTAGCTCCTTCTAGTCTCAAGGCAAGGAAAAGTCAGGCTATCAAAATGGTTCATAATGACTCAACCGAAAATCAAGTCCAAGCTGATCAAGGACGTCACACAGCTCGTACTCAGTAGAAGGACTAAAATGTGCAATTTCTTGGAATACAAAGATTCAAAGATCGTTTACAGGAGATACGCCAGTTTATTCTTTATCTGCGGGGTCAGCCATAATGATAACGAGTTGATTGCACTTGAAGTTATCCACAGATACGTTGAAATATTAGACAGATACTTTGGTAACGTTTGCGAGTTGGATTTGATTTTCAACTTCCAAAAGGCCTTCTCGATACTTGATGAGCTGATTATAGCTGGAGAGCTGCAAGAATCTTCCAAGAAAAATGTGCTTAGGAATGTCAGTGGGCGTCTCTATCGTGTACTCCTTTCTCATCTCTTTTAGGTCTCTCAAGCTGACGCCATACAAGATACTGAAGAATCTCAAGAAAGCATCACCTCTATAAAATCTAGATAGATTGTCTTAACTTTATATCCAATATCTTTATTTTATTTTGTTTCCCACTCCTTATTCCTTCGTTACTTCCATCATCAATGTCCGCACCGAGGCCGACAACGCGGCAGAGGTCTTCTTCCTCAATTTCAATCTCAAATGCCATACAAGATATCAGGTGCGCGTATTTAACGCGTCTAGCAGCCATTCTCACATCTCCCAGCGATATTCCCCAGCCTGGCCAAATACATACTAACCCTGCCAGCAAACGCAAAAGAAAGTCACAGGACCGCCTACCACCCTCTAGAGGGTTTCTCATAGACCTATTCACTATGCAGTGGATGATCCACCCTTGTTAGCAAAAGTTTCTTCTACTCTAGCACACACTCACAAGCTCCAGTAACATCTCTCAAGATGATCGTAATTACTCTGGTGGCTTGGCTTAACTGGCGCGTGTTTACTCCCGACGCTCCTAACCCGCTCTCACCGCTACTCTTCCTCTCTAACCCCGTACCAAGGCACGCCGATGACCCTCTCAGCACCACTCGCTATGCAAAATCATACTACGATATTTTGTTCGTTCTCTTCTACGTCATCGTCTTTTCCTTCCTCCGGCAATTCATTACCCTCTACATCCTCCATCCATTTGCCGTCAAAATAGGCACAAAGCCTGCTAAAATTCCGCGGTTTTTGGAACAAGCTTATACGTTTCTCTACTTCTTATCCGCTGGCAGCATAGGCGTATGGGTCATGTATCAGGAGCCTACGTGGTGGTATCGTACCGAGCACTTCTGGCTCGAATACCCGCACTGGGACATGAAGTACCACATTAAGCTGTATTACCTCCTTCAAACCAGCTACTGGCTCCAACAGATGTTGGTTTTGATTTTGCGTCTCGAGAAACCGCGCAAGGATTTCAACGAGTTGGTGATGCATGTGCGTGCAGCTTTGCGATTATGGCAATGCTGAACTCCAACACAGCACATTGTCACCCTCTGGCTCATTCTCTGGTCCTACCTTATCAACCTCTCCATGATTGGAAATGCCATCTTCGTGACAATGGATGTCTCAGACATCTTCCTCGCGCTCGCCAAGTGCTACAACTACGTCAAACCTGGCCACTGGCTCGGTAACGTTATCTTTGGCTTTTTCATTATAGTGTGGACGTGAGTAGAAATGGTTAGTGAGAGTCACATCTAATCTCCTCACACAGGTACATGCGTCACTGGCTCAACTTGCGCATTCTCTACTCAGTTTACACACAATTTACCCTTATTCCACTGGAGAACAGGCGGTGGTGGACCCCCGACGGTGTGTGGATGGTCGGGTGGATGCAGTGGCAGATCTTCCTCCCTATTCTCGCCCTTCAGCTGCTCAACCTCTTCTGGTACTTCCTTATTTGGAGAATCTTGATTCGCGCTTTGGTGTACAACCACCTCGCCGACGAGAGATCGGATGATGAGGAAGATGAAGGTGATGAGGTGAAGAAGGAGTGAAATAGAATGCTCGCGATGTTAATAGAACACCTAATACATTATATACTTTAAATAAACTCATCTTCGGCCCTCAACGGTGCAACTTCCTCTTATCAACTGTGATGGGTAGTTATATATATTTTATCTAGAACCTTTAGCAGAAATCACTGAGCGTAGTTTTGACTGGAATTAAGGCTCGTTGAAACTCACTTGCCGTGGGTTTTACAATCTCATCTCATTGAATGACGATTTCCACTTCAACGGTTCACGAGCCAATTCGCAGAATATAATCTCTAACATTACAAGCTAGTATATTATAAAGATGCTGAAGAATATCATGTGAATACCTGAATTGGCAAACAGAGTCACGTGAGTTGTTTGTCTGACCTCAAGGATAGCACTGATTTGTCTCAGATCTTTCAATCTCAATTTTTCCACGGATAATTTGTCTCACAGGCGCTATATTGCCTTTCTCCTGGCCCAACTTCCCAATCTCAAGAAGTGAAGGTTATCTAGAGGTTACTGTGCAAGACTGATAGTCAGTCCAGGCGGCTTCAAGAAATTAAAGGGATTGTATGCTAACGAAACTGATGTGATTTGTACAAGTGGTAATTTGTTATCTTAATTTTCTTCTCTGACAATGCTCTGTTTTGACGTTGATTTGTTTTCAGTGCTTGACGAGAAGTGGCTAAATTACATGACACAAATGAATTGACAAATCAAGCGGTTTCATCAATGGTAATTTCGAAGTGGTCTCTTAGCTTCGGATACTTCTAAAACAAGAATAAGTATGTAGTACATGATTAAGTTGTTTGAACAGTATCAATGTAATTGTACGTTATTATTGAAGGAACTTTGCAACTTGTATAAACAGACTGGCTGATATTGACATTAAACCCAGTCAACTTTGGGATATCAGCATACAAGCTCTTACACATGCTGGTTATACTTTTACAGAAAGTATAGTGCGCACCGAAGCTGTTACGCACTGTATGTGGAAGAATTTTCATTTCAAGGACTTTGGTGCATCAACAACCACAAGCGCCAGAGATTTTACTTTCTCTTCCACCTCATATTCTGCGTCTGTTTCACTACCGATACTATTGAATGTGTACCTTTAATATCTCATTGAGTTCATATCTCTCTAGCAGCGTGTGCGA